CCTTCGCATGCAAACTCACGCAGATCTACAGCAAAAATAAAGATGATCAATAAATGAAAGTCGGAGACTACTTCCTCACGGACTGCCTTGCATTGTAACTAGTTACAGTAATAGTTAATGCTAAATAATCAAAACAGCAATCAGAAAGTTACTATCAAAAATAAAATTCACCTACCAAGGTCTATACTATGGCAAAGTCAACAGAAAAAAGGAACGAACCTTTGTGGACAGCCTTAATGTGCCTTCGAACGTATGAGTTCTCAGCAAAGGCTTTTCCGCAAAATTCACACGCAAAATCACGCAGCCCTAAAACCAAAATAAAGACGATCAATAAATGACAAAAGCGGAAACTTCCTTCTCTGTAATGTCTTGCAGTGTCACTAATGACATCAATGGTTAATACTAAATACTCGAAACAGCAATGGAAAATCTGCGATCAGAAGTAAAATTTGTCTGTCCGGACCTAAACTACCGACGAAGCAAAACTATGGACCAAATACATCTCTGCCGGCACACCAACCGACGGGCAAACTGCATAGGAGAAAACGTTAGAAGCGAGCTTCAGAGCCTGAACATTCAGATTGAGGGCTCTCGTTATATGCCTCTCTTATTCGTGTTCATAACATGGGAATACCGGCTAAGCTGCTGCGTATGGTTAGCACCTCACAGTCACTTTTTTCGTCGCAGCCACGACCCCCTTGAGCGCAGCCCTGGTGCTGCGTATGCACTGTGTCCGCATTGCCTACTTCCCTCCCGTGCAGGTTTACCGCAGATATATTTGGTGACTCCGATTGTTATGCGCCGTAGATTTTCTCTGACGAGACAGTTCGTAAAACCAGGTACGGAGGAGGCAAATTGATGTGGCGGTTAGCTGAACAGTCGGTCGACATCCAGACTTCCTCCATCTGCCTTGACCTTCGGTGAAGCACTAGTGACCTCTAGAACCTCGGTTGGTCCACCCTGTCTTGTCTCACACATTTTTTCTCGGAAGGACAGTCCTATCTCGCATATCTTTTGTGAAGGTTGCAATAGAAAAAAACTAACCACCAAGTCACCGGAAAGAAACACAATCTTTTCGTTATCACATGACTTTCCAATGTCAAGTAGGTGATTCCGCCGTATACAATCTGAACTCACGTTTGCCCCCTGAAACAAACGTTGAAAATGAAAATAAGACCTTTAGACGCACGTGCCTTACGCCGGTCGTACAAGGCTAAAATCTAGAGTTAGACTGGGGTCCACGACACGTAGGCAGTAGGTGATGATCACAAGGCATAAGATTTCTGCGAAATAGCTGATCGCGTGATGTCAGCAACGTCGATTCAACAGACAATGTGGTCCCTTCTCTGTCCACTCGGTAA